GCACAGCCTTGGTGGAGGAGGGGTAAGTCGCTATGGTGTGCTTTGAGAATCCGCAGCCTCTCCCTGTCCTGGGTTCCCTCTCTCCACTTTGTGTTTGCTGTTGAAGGTGACATGTCTCAGCTTCCGGCTCCTGACACCATGTCTGCCTTCTGTTGCCATGCCTCCCCACCATAATGGATGCTTATCCCTCTGGAACGGCACCCCCAAATAAAGTCCCAAATAAAGTCTTCCATATATTCCTTTTGAGAGTGGTTCTATCACAGCAACAGAAAAGTAACGAACGCATCGATCAGTAACAGCTCCTGGCTAATCCCCATCCAGTTCTTTGTAGCTGAGGTATTGGTTGGCTTTTTCCCAGGCACACTCTGGACACGTTAGCTAAGGAAAGCAACTCCCTCAGTTCCAAAGTTGGTGCCGCATTGCTATTGTGAATCTAATTACAGGTAGCATTTTAATTTTTTTTTTAAGATTTATTTGTATTTATGGAAGAGAGTGTGTGTGTGTGTGTGTGTGTGTGTGTGTGTGTGTCTATGTGTCCATCTGTTCATCCATCTCTCTGTGTGTGGAAATGTGTGAGTGTGAATGCAGGTGCCGATGGTATTCAGAAAAAGGTGTCAGGTCGCCTGGAATCAGAGCCAAAGCTGGCTGTGATCAGCCTCCTGAAGCAAGTATTGAGAATTGAACTCAGGTCCTTGGCAATCTACTGATGAGCCATCTCTCCAACCCCAGGAGGCGTTTTCATTTAAAAATCCTGGGATTTTAAGATGTCACACCACAACCGACAGAGAGGGGCACTGATAAGAACAAGGATACAGGAGGTGAGCCGGTGCATACTTAGACAGTAAAATATATACTGCAAGAAACACACACCCCGCAGACTGCAGGCTTATATGACAATAAATAACAGTTATCGCCAGGACAAAGGAGAGAGAGCCGTGAAATCCAATAGCTCAGTGAGAAATCTGCTAATACAGGTGGCCAAGCTTGTTCCATTTCATTGTCAAATGGAGGCTATTTATTTTCTTCTGGGTAGTTAAATTACAGAGTCATTTATTGCTGAAAGTTTTCCAGTGGGCAGATGGGAATCTAAAGCAGGCTTTGGGCTCAAACTTGGTGAGAAAAAAAAGGAGTGAGGATTTATTTCACAGACAGCACAACTGAAACTGTAAAAATCCTTCAGCAAGTCTGCAACTGAATGATTCCCCACAGTCCGGCCGGGAACTCCAGGGTTTTCACCTTGATATGGGAAAAGGGCTAGAGTGAGTAACCCCTTCTGAAGCTCCCTAAATGATGGCTAATGTAGACAGTTTTCTCTGGGTAGTGTGTGTGTGTGTGTGTGTGTGTGTGTGTGTGTGTGTGTGTACAGGAGAGAGACAGACAAAGACAGACAGACCGCCATAGAGAGGCGGTGTGTATATCTATATACAAGTATGCAGAAAATATTAAAGTCACTGTCAATTTCTTTGCCTGTTTTAATACAAAAGCTTAACTATATGTGAGATCTATCATCTATACATCATATAATTGTGTGTCATCTATTTGTCTATATCTATTATCTTTATACCTATTATCTATTTATCATCTGTCTGTCTGTCTTTCAGTCTGTCTCTTCAGAATTTAGACACGACTGTATGTTCACTACTATCTGATAACTTCCAAAATTCAGAAAGTTTGTAAATAGGGTGGGCCAAAACCTTTTCAATACCCATTTATGTGTAAGAATGTATTATTTAATTGCATGTGTTTTTACATGCATACATGTATGTGTGTTTACATATATGTGATGCATACACACATGTACACATTGCATGTACCTATGGAGGAGGACAATTGCAGCCAATCTCTTCTCTCCCTCCACTATGCATGGCCTGGGGATCAGGCTTCCATCTTCAGCTTCACAGACTTTATCTCCTCAGCTACCTTTTAGGTTCCCAATTTTGTTTGTTTCTTTAGAAAAAGGATTTGTATTACTTCTAAATTGTGTGTGTGTTTATGTGTCTGTGTCTGTGTGTGGGTGTGTGCACTTAAATTCAAGAGCTCTTGGAGGCTAGAAGAGGGCATTGGATTACTTGGAGCTGGAGTTATAGGGCATTTAGCTGTGAACAACATTCGGCTGCTAGGAACCAAACTCAGGTTCTCTATAAAAATCCCAATTGCAATGAAAAATAAGGAAATCATGAAGTTTGCAGGTAAATGGTGGGACCTGGAAAGGATCATCCTGAGTGAGCTGTCCCAGAAGCAGAAAGACACATGGTATATACTCACTCATATAGACATATCACATAGGATAAACCTACTAAAATCTGTACATCTAAAGAAACTAATCAAGAGAGAGGACCCTGACTAAAATGCTCACTCTCCATCCCGAAAGGCCAAGAGAATGGACATCAGAAGAAGAAAATAGAAAACAACCTAGGAACCTGCCACAGAGGGCCTCTGAAAGGCTCTGCCTTGTAGACTATCAAAGCAGACGTTGAGACTTATGGCCAACTGTTGGGCAGAGTGCAGGGAATCTTATGTAAGAAGTGGGAAATAGTAAGATCTGGAGAGGACAGGAGGTCCACAAGGAGAGCAACAGAACCAGAAAAGTGGAACACAGGGATCTTCCCAGAGACTCATACTCCAACCAAGTAGCATGCATGGAGATAACCTAGAACCCCTGCACAGAGGTAGCCCATGGCAGTTTAGTGTCCAAGTGGGTTACATAATAATGGGAAGAGGGACTGCCTCTGACATAATCTGATTGGCCTGCTCTTTGATCACCTCCCCCTGAGGGGGGAGCAGCCTTACCAGGCCACAGAAGATGACAATGCAGCCACTCCTGATGAGATCTGATAGACTAATAGAAGGAAGGAGAGGAGGACCTCCCTTATCAGTGGACTTGGGGAGGGGCATGCGTGAAGAAGGGGGAGGAAAGATGGGGTCGGGAGGGGAGGAGGGAGGGGCTTATGGGGGGATACAAAGTGAATAAAGTGTAATTAATAAAATAAAATTAAATAAAAAAAAGAGTTCCAGGTACTTTTAACTGTAGAAACATTTCTCCATCCCCCAGAAGAGACTTGGTTTTTCAGTATTTATTTTTATTTCTTAAATGCATTTGTAGTGATACATACACACGTGTACAAAATGCACACACATGCACGTGCACACTGAACGCATCCCCTGTGCATTCCAGAAGAGTGGCTCGGACCCCCAAAGCTGGAGCTACTGCAGGCTGGGAGCTGCCTAACGTGGGTGCTGGGGACTAGGTTCGGTCCTCCGCAAGGACAGCCTGTGCCCTTAAACACTGCGCCCTCTCTCCAGCCTCTCCCTCTTGTTTTCATAATCACTTCCCGCCTCAGTCAACAGCAATGCTGCATCGCTTGTGTTCTGAGTACAGGAAATGACTGTTTCAGCTGCCATTGACTCTTGCCAAGTAACCTTTAAACCAGGACATGCATGTAATTTCCTGATTAATTAAAAGTATTAACTTCATCAATCTTGATTCCCGACCAAATCTAAAGCTTCCGGACATAATCCTGGCAGAGAACAAAAGACACAGCTGTGAGAACTCTAATCTATATCACCTCGCATAAAGAAGACACAGGAAAGACAATGAGCCCGTCACCTCAGAGGAAGGGGCTGAGCAGATGTGATCTATAATCACTGGTCACAGTGCTTCCACAGCTGCTAGGACCTAATTCTGATCCTCTAGAAATCTGAGGCAGATGCCGGAAGATCCTATCAGAATGCACATCATCACAAGGAAAGACAAATGGCTAGGGCACCAGATAACTTCATCATTACATCGCTTACGTCTTTGGGAACTCGGCTAGGAAACTGGAAAGACAAGCGGTTGACAGATACCCAAGATTTCAAGGTCTGTTGCCTGTGGCATCCAATGATTTGAAGATCTGGGCATATTAAGTTCAGAACAAACAGGAATAATATTTTAAACTGAGACTGTTTATGATACCCCAAAATGGCTGCTGCTGGAGCTTTAAATTTCCAATATCTAAACACTATTAGTGATGTTTCAAGTGTTTATTCTTACTTTTTCTCCCTTCTTTTTTTTTTTGCTTGTGGAGAGAGGGTCTCATTGTGTAGCCCTAGCTGACCTGAAACTCCATTAGACACACCAGGCTGTCCTTGAATTCACACAGATCTGCCTGCCCTGTTTCCAGGGTGCTGGGATTAAAGGTGTGCACCATCACCCCTAGCTTATATCATTATGATGATATCTCACTAGGGCCCCAATCACATTGATGTACATTATTCACAGAGATCCGTATTAAATCAGCACATAGGCAGATTCTTACAATACTACAACAATCATGACACAAAATGATGATGGTGCACAATTTCACGATTTGATATAAACATTCATCACAGTTTCACATACCAGGTCTCAGACAACACATACGATGTGGCAATGAATAAATGTTGAAATGATGAGTATCAAGGAAATTGCTCTCCAGGTAGACGCTGGGTATATGCCCCACAGTAAAATTCCAGCAAAGCAGACAAAAGTCACCAGCGATTAGTGAAAAAGTCATCATCTGAGAACCCCAGACCCAGACATAAAACAAATAAGTGAGGTTCTAGTACACATTAAACCGATGATAACTTTCTATGCTGCCCTAAAACTAAAACTCTGCTGAGCTAGTAGAGTTCTATACACCAGTCCATACATGTGTATCGAGCCCAACACTGCTGACCGGGGAAATTTCCAGACTCTCATGAATGCACTTTCCTTTTTTCAGGCAAAACAGAGTCTTCCACATTTAAATACTTGGTCACCACAACTGAAGAGCTCATTTATAACTGTACACCAAGGCAAGGAGATTATAACAAGCCAAGACCACTACATGCTTCATTTTTCTAATTGGGCACAAAAAGAGTATAAACCATAATGTGGGGTCTGCTCACTGCAAAGGACCAATAGTTAATCTCACACAGTCACACACATCCACACAAAGGTAGACCCGTGTGCACAGACTCCCTTGTCTGAGCAGGCTTACCTTGGCCATCTGTGCTTGCACGCCATTTGCCTTCAAGGATGCTACTGCTTTCTGTGCGGCTGCAGGACTATCAAAATCTACAAAACCATAACCTGCAAAAATACAAAAGCTGGCATTAGTCACCACAGGCAGCAGGCACACCTGTGTCACGCGATGAACCTGCCTAGACCTGAAAGCTCTCCTGTCTGTGGAAGCCACTCAACACTAACCTGGCAGGTTAAGGCAAAGCCTTGCTTCACTATGTTCTTTCGTCTACAGGTCTGCTACAAGAGGGAGAAGAATAAAACCATGAAAATCCTGAAGTCTCTGGAGCTAAAACGCATTTTCTAGACCTTTAAAAAACGATACTCATAAAAGCCACATGAACTGGTAAGTGTGATGTCCACATGAACTGTCAACCTGATGGGATCTAGAATCACCTAGAAGACAGAGTGCTGAGGACACCGGTGGGGAACTGCCCTCTTTATGACAGTAACGTGGGAAGACCCATTTGACTTGTGGGTAAGAGCATCCCCTGGGAGGGGAGTCTGGATCGCATAAACCAGAGAGAGCCAGCTGAGCCCCGACACATCTGTTCTGTTTCCTGACTGTGCACGTGATGTGAGCAGCTGCTCCAAACTGCTGCCACGGTGCCTCCTCTACCGTGAGAACTGTGCAGGAAATGAAGCCAGAATGAACCCTTTCGTGGTAAGTTGCTTTTCCCAGGGTAAATTATCATAGTGGCATGTCAAGAAGCCAGGGCACTGAGGTTCTAGCTGCAGAAGTGCTTGCCATGCAGCGGGCAGCCAATACACACCTCTTGGCTGCACAAATAAACAGAGGTCGTGGGTTAGGGCAGCATTTTGAACCTACCTGACCACTCAGCCCGTGCTTCTAAATTAATTATAGGAGCTTGTTTCTCTCAACATCTCAAATAGTTGATGATTTTAGTATTTTGGAAAAAAAATGTAATTTGATGGATACATATGCAGGTATCTAAAAGACAGACACAGAACGGCCATCTTGCTCATATATGGTTCTGTTTGTATGCTTATGTGATCCTATGTAAATGGCCAGGGAAACAAACAAACCAGAGCAGTTGAGAAGACATAACAATGAGGAGGAAACAGTCTTCATGCCATCAAGGTGACAGCCATTAGTGCATGGATTCGCCCAACAGCAATGCCACCTGTGATTCTAGCATAACTGAGGTAGAAGCAGGATAATCAGGAGTCCAACGTCAGCTTTGACCATCTACTGTGTTTAGGACTAGTCTGAAGTACTTGAGATTATATCAAAAAATAAATAAATAAGGAAAGAAAGAAAGAAAAAAAGAAAGAAAGAAAGAAAGAAAGAAAGGAGAAAAGGAAGAAAGAAAGAAAGAAAGAAAGAAAGAAAGAAAGAAAGAAAGAAAGGAGGAAAGAAAGGAAGAAAGAAAAGAAAAAATTAAAGAAAAAACCAAAAGCAACTGTATGTGTGTATGTGTGTCATGGTTTGAATGTGAACGTCCACACAGGCTGTGTTTGAACATTGACCCCCAGCAAGTTGTGCTGCTTGAGAAGGTTACAGAGCCTTTAGGGGGTGGAGCCCTGATGAAGGAAGTGCATCACTGGGAGAGAGAGTTGGGCATTTTGTAGCCTGGCCCTACTTGCTGTGCAAGCTCAGCTTCCTGTGTGAAGATGACACGTGAGCAGTCAGCTTCCTGCCCCTGCTGCCATGCCTTCTCTGCCTGCTGCCATGCCTTCCCTCCATGATGGACTCTACGCCTCTGGCACTAAGGACCAAAATGAGCACTTTTTCCTGTCAGTTATTTTTTTCTCAAGAAATTTTTAACACAGCAACAGAAACAGTTACTAACACACACACACACATATGCACATTATAAATATTACATATGATATACATTGTATATAACTTGTTATATATGACACATACAAACATATAAATATGTATATGTGTATATTATGTATGTATGTGTGTGTGTATACGTGTATGTGCTGTGTTCCTGAAAAGCCTATGGTTGTATAAACACATCTTCTCATCCATGAAGACAGACATCTGTCTTGTAGTTTGAAGTCTGTCTCATTCAGGGATTCCGGGCCTTGCCACCAAGGCAAACACATCATTTGGGTGCTGCTATCATCCACCCGACCCAACCTCCAAATAAGAGTGTTTGGAAATTCAATTACCAAGTTGTTTCTTTTAATTAACTTTTTAATTTCCTCCCCTTGAATCTCGTCTTTCTTTTCTCCCTCCCAGCATGTTATCCCAGAGTGAACTAGCTACACAGCAGTGTACCAGCAAGATACTCTCACAGAGCAGGCCGCAGGACGCTGTCAAGTTAGTGCTTCTTATACAGAAGGAAGTGTGTTTTGTAACAAATGGTAATTTTTCAGGTGATAAGATGGGGAAGAAAAGTGAAGGAGAAAGAAAAGTCAAGAACCAGAGTTATAGGCAAAGGCATAAAGACTCCAAACTTAGACATCGACACCGTTGCCCACAGATCGGGTGCTGTTCTGAGGGTTTCAGGCATTAGCAATTGATAAAAGCTTCATTGTGTCACATAATACCGACTCCACGTCCATTGTACGAGAAAACTGAGTGAACTTACACAAGTGGCCAAAACAGCCAAAACTCTTAGATGGTTGGGACACAAATTGAGCCTAATCTTCACAGAAGCTATCTGGTGTGATACAAAGAACTGTTTCTAGTCCCACCAGAAGCCTGAGATGCTGATGCCCCTCAGAGAGAGGACTTAAATCTCCTCAGATTTTGAAGTTATAAGCTGAGTTGCCACAATTCCATGGAAGGCTCGCCCCAGCTCATTCTCTTTGAGTGTTACTTCCTGGAGGGCCTAAGCTTGCATTATGTTTCTTCTCAGGAGGTGCGGGAGGGGAATAAAGACTAGTCATCACTCACTCAGAGGCTCACCCTTCTTCTAGTCATGAAGGTCTCCATCAGGCACCTGACCCAGCACAATATGCAGCACGGAGAAAACAGCAGCTCTGTTCCCATGAAGCTTATTAACTGAGTTATAAAGAGTCATGACAGACCAGCCAGACCAAGGAATCTGCAGCCGTCTCCTGTAGTGCCTTCCCTGAAATCAAGGAAAGCAGGGCACACAGAATGTGCATGTTGATTGTCCAGTGCTGAGAAATCTTTGACAAGTTCTCTCTCTAACCGGAGACTGGATGGTGATGGGGTAGGAGCCACCTACCTTGTTTATTGACACATGATGTCTATTCCATATGGAATTTACTGAGTAGGTAAGACTGGGTGGCCAGCAAGCCCCAGGGATCTATCTGACTCTGCCTCCCAACACTGTGATTACAAAGAAATGTCATCATATTAAATATTTTACATAGGTGCTGGGGATTGAACCCTGGTCCTCATGTTTTCCCCGCAAACACTTTACTGAATGAGCTATCTTTCCATCCCTCAACAGAGCTTTCATTTTCTTTATGATAGAAGTGTGTGTGTGTGTGTGTGTCCATCCTTGTATTCCTGTGTGAAATCAAGGTAAGGACCTACTAAAACTCATTTTTGTGTATTGGCCACCTACTACGGAACGTTACACTGCTTTGCAGTTTTGAAAAATGAATAGGGAAGATCAAGCTGAGAAGAGACTCAAGCTTCATGGAAACGAAAACAATTCATAAAATATCCATCTGGGGGAAGGTGCAAGCCCAAGGGACCTCTGGGACAGATATGGCCATGCTGCCCCTGCACCCACAGTCACAGGAAGGAAGAAGAAAGAACATGCTGGCTGAGGTAGTCATCTAACCTGTGCTGTGACCAAGTCCCTGGCAAAAGCAGCTCAAAAGGAATAGCTAATCCTGGCTTTCGGCCTGAGAGGACACATTCCATCATGGCGGGAAAGACATGAGAAAACTGGTCGAAGAGTACCTCCAGTCAGACAGAGAGCACATGGGAAGTGGGCGAGTTTATAAAAACCACAAAGCCACCCCCAGTGACCTGCTTCTTCCAGCAAGGTCTAACAACCTCCCAATCAGCACCGTCCATCAACGGTGCCTCCTATAAAGGAGGCATTTGAGACTCGTCACCTGTTATCATTTCATCATCTACCCCTAGTTACTGGAGTTTACCTAAGCCTGTGTTTAGTAGATCCTTGTCAAAGTACATAGAAAGCATGTGTAAAATATGTAAACTTACAGGAGGGATTACTGTGGTTACTAATTAACAGATAAAGATGTCATAATAACATTTTGTTTACAAAAATACCAAGACAGTGCCAGTGCTGTCAGATAGGGCTGTCCCACATTTCGACCCTGCATTACAGCTTCTTTCTTCAGGTTCTTTCCTTCACTTCCAACTCTACACACCACACAGTATATTAGAAAATCAAGATGTGGCTCCTTAGGGCTAGACTCCTACACATGCTTAAGTAATTTCCACAAGGGCACCAAGCAGCCTGAGCTTCTCCTCAGGAAATTTACAGCAGAATTCTGGGGGGGGGGGGGCGAGGAGTGACCCCTACACCTGCAGGCACGGCCCCAAACCAACAAGAAGCAAAGACTCTGCATATAGACTTAGAGCAAAGAGAGAATCACAATCTGAGTTGTGGTGTGTTCACTTATCCTTTTACTGGTTTAAATGACAGTCTGAAGGTCAAAGTGTCTCAAGATACTTCCATTCTGCAAATAAACATGGCGTTTCCAAGGTTTACGAGCGTAAGAGCTACATCTCAGTTGGAAGAAAACAAAATGAAACACAGGGCTGGCTCTTAAAAAAACAAAACAATGATGAGGTTAGAAATGGATAAAATTGCTTTAATTTGGTTTCAATTTGCTTTCCTTCCTGACAACTAATGAAGTCTGGTAGCAGGCACCTCTGTCTCTGCATCTGGCAGAGGAAGGGAGGTAGAATAATCCAGTCCAGCTCACAGTCTCCCTTACGGAGCCCGAGGGAAGGCTGGCCAAGGCAGACTCTGCCTGGTGGCTGTGTACCTACCTCCCTCAATTTTGTCATCACACTTGGAGACAGGTTCAAGCAAATTAGATCCAAAGGTCACTGTTTACCCCCACATACCCAGAGCTTGTTTTTCTTCCTGGTCAGGGAGACAAGGCCAGCAGCTCAGCAATTAGCCGGAAGT